GATAATGTGGTCGCTGGCAATATGTAGAGAAAAGAATATGCATTATTCAGATGTTCATTTACTGGACTGCTAACACCAAACTGGCGATCACTCACTATTTATCGTCAGGATCGACCAAGATATAAAAAACGTAAACTTGTTGAAATACCACATCCTGAGAATTCTATATTGTACCAAAACCATAATATTGAATAAAGCTTGTAATAATAATAACACACCTTGTACCTACCGACAGTATTCCTCTCCTTCTTTGTGTAAAGTTATGCCAGTGTCATTCCCAGATGTAACAATTCCACTTCATCAATTTCAAACTGTTTTCTGTGAGCTTGCTTTCATACAAACTAACCTAACCAGAAATCCCTGTGTTGAATAGGAAGAAATGAAGAATATTGTAGTGGAAAGTGTCTTCGACAACTTCATCATCACACTCTACAGTTACAAGTTCACAAGCATAGTGTAAGAACGGCTAAAATGAGCATTCAAGTGAATTAGATAATGTTGTGTTAAAACGTGACGACTCTGTGTATCAGTTGTGTGATAAATGCCTCAAAAATGTGTCATCTGTAAGCTGGAAAGGTTATTCTCAGAAGATTGAAGTGATTCGGTGTGAGGTGCCTAATTGTAATCAATGTAATAATCAAACGAGTGATACGCAAAAAATGAATGTCAGGAGAATATAATTTGATCAGTGGAGTTAATAATAATTGCGATAACCGTAATAAAGATAAAAATTGTTATTATTATTATTGTTCGAGTGCCAATACCAATGATATTAGTTGTAATATAATTATTATATAAGAAAACGCAATGTGAAGATAATGTACAATAAGACGGGGTGTCATCAAGGTAATTGTGTTAAGAAAGTCCAGCAGATTGAGAAAGTTGAATGTGCAGACTGAGAACGGTATAAGGCAGATGAGAACACTAAAGAAATTAAGGGGATACATAGCACACGATATGCAGTTAAGATAATATCCCAAAGTTATTCCACCACGAGTGTTTTGGGAAGATAATGGCATCTTCATGGCTTTCACTCACAAATTGATTTCAGTCAGATCACCGCTAGAATCATGGGAGTACGAATTGGCTGCTTTGATCTTGTATGTACCTCCTCATCATCGATTTTTGTTGATTCAATTGTTTGTATTTCGTCTTCTCTATTTTGATCAAGCGGACAATCATGTTTCACTTCTGTACTTCATTTGAGACCACAATGTGTTTGGCAACCAGAAAATCTGGTTGAATTGATTTGTAAGATAGTATTGAACCATAGGAACGTATTATTTTCGATAAACGTTCTTTGTTTGGCCTAAACATACACATGCTTCTTACGTGCTCCTAAATCTGTTTGGATCTTCCAGACTGTTACTTGACGATTCAGTCAGGATGATGTGGTTGAATATTACATATAATCATCATGTCTACCTGAATTCTACTAGTCTAATATACGATTTCGCATAAGAAGTATTTTTTGAATGATAGTAACAATAGTGTAGATTATCTGAGAGTGGTTATGCAAATATCTGTCTGTTGACCTTAGTTGTTTATAGAAATTTCTATGATTATACTTTCTCTTCATCTATCACCTCATTATATTTAATTATTCAAATAATATGGTATTGTCTATTGTGTAGTGGCCGTGATATGAAACTTTGTTAGAATAATGAATACCGCTTTCTAATTACGTGTTTATCTGACTGACAGTCATCTACTCACACTGAACAAAGATGAATGGAAGTCTCATTTTACAAAACATTCCTGCTTTTGTGGAAAGCAAGTAAATTGAAAACAAATATTTTGTCAGTCAATTCATAGTTAGTCTTGTTTCAGCTATGAATAAACACTGTAACCATTTACCATCTAAATCGAAGTGATTTTATGGTCGTTTTCTCTTAGAATCATCAACATAAGCAACCATATTCGCAGTATGGTATTGTTAAGCTATCGATTGAAATCATGGGTCGATGAATATTAGCCTATCATTGGAAATGTAGAGCACTGGACCATTATCTATCGATTCTGATATCTTTGAAAGACTTATCAATCCTAACAACCCTACCTTGATGATTATCATGTGCTCACTGTTAACTAGCTCCTTCTGGGGTTCTCGGAGTTCTTGTGAGCAACTGTGACCAGTCGAGCTATTCCTTTCAGGCAGAGACAGGTATCTATCTCAGACATTGGTGAGTGGTTGCGCATCCTTGTGGATTTGTTGAAATTAGTCACCGACACTATTGAATGCCAAATAAGTGGTCTAGAGGTTAAGCTTTGGTGCGCTAGACCAAAGATCTTGTGTTTGAATTCCGCGTGTGGGATTGTGGATGCGCACCGCCGAAAAGTTTCTCACTAAGACGAAACAGTTGTTCAGTGCCTCCAGGTTTTCAATAATAGTCTAATATTCATCAAATAATTTTCTCAATTGAAATAAAGTTCAAATGTTAGTGCCTTTTTGACATCCAATGGAATCAGTTTGTGCTACTTTGATCTTAACCAATCAAGTCAAATTAATGCGTCGTTGACAGCTCATTAACAGATTATTGCACGCCGACGACGAACGCAACGCAGCAAGCTACGCCGCTGAAGAAAACTTCTGCACTCTATACCTTCGACGGACAAATTCAGCGAAGCCAGAGCAATATCCGATCCGATGCAATCAGCAAAGCCTGTGCATCATGGAATGGACATACTCAAGTCGTATTATCTTATCGATACTTTGTTCTCATGTCAACCATTCCCATTGATCCATTCGTCGGTTTGTTCGATTACGATTGAAATTATCATTATATGCTTATTATTACATTATTATCAATATCATGACCGAATGTGGAATTATTAATCTTGCTCGTCCTGTCACTAAATTGACATTTTCGCAATCGTATCACTCACCGAACAAATTATCATTTTATGAAAATTCCACTCCACTTTGTGAGAACTCATTGGGATATTTTTACTATTCAAAAACGTGAAATTTCCCTGATCTAAGTGAGTTCGTTTCAATTTTTCATGTCATTTTGATCTAATATTACATTCATTCAGTTAGTCGAGGTCATTATTTTATGTTATCACAACATACATTTTTCATTTCGAAATCACCTCCTATTATGTCTATGGATGCATCTAACTAGCTGACTAGTAACCATTACGTTCATTTTATCCATTCTTACACGTGCATATCTGCATGCCGCATCATTTATCAACCAAAAACGCTATTCGAGTACTGCAACTACTATTCTATACCCATCGCACGGTATATCAGAACATAGAGTTTAGAGCTAGTCTCTCAAAGATACACTCTTGTTCGTGACATCCAAGTCAGTCTCATACGTCGCAATCGCTAACCATATGTATTGGTATTTTCGTCATGCCTTGGTACGGTTTTGTAACAAACGAGATCGAGCGCATCTCCCTCAAACCACACAAACTACTCTAGGCTTCATGACCAAAAAGGAATACGACTCTATGTACCTCGTCTACTCAGTCACTATTCTGTTCCTCTGGTCATTCTTCTACTAATACATATTTAACGATAACTCAATGCATCTGTCATAACGCAGACGACAACGTTCACTGACTTCATATTTTATGATTATTATCAATTGCAGTACAGCAACGAATATCACCCGTCGATGCAGTTATTATTTCACGACTTGCCTATTATCATCCTATGAACGGGAACTACGCATTTAAATTCGAATTCACTCGTCGCTAGTCGATGCTATTTATTCTGCTGCGGCTCAACAGAATATATATTTCGCATATTTCACTATTCTGTCAGCATCACAGACCAATTTCTGTCATATTCTACTGTACTCATTTTGACAATTTATTTCCCTGTCATACCCACAAACAATTTATCACTATTTTCACGATAATTTGAATCACTCATACAAACGTGTTATTTTATTGTTCAGACAGTCATAGAATTAGTACACGTTAATTTTTTGTACGCTCAATAATTTGCTCATATTCGCATGCTAACGTTTCCATTTTTTGTCCGCGTCTTTTCTATATTCATGTATTCTTTTGCATAAGTATAACATTTTCATATAATACACTCACCCCTCATGTGACACAGTACTTTATCGAGTGTTGTACAATTTTTTTGGCTACTTATTGTTAACGTTAACTTCATATCACTTGAGTATTATTTTCGAAAACAGACATTTTTTAAATGTGCTATTTTCTACGAGGGGGGCTATGTAGTGTCAGTTTTTATGGCAAGCCCATATACCTTATTCTAGCTTCCGGACATTCCATTTTATTCATTCTACTCGAGCCATACTTTGACCTTGTTATTTATTCGCTTATCAATCTAGACTGTTTTTATATGAGCGTATATGTGAGTGCCCTTCTTATTCCATTAATCACATGTCTGTAGCTTTATTTTGTCTGACTATAAATATTGAGTAACGCTTGACTAAAATGGGAGTTGGCTTCCCCGCCATCTTCCCTGCGCGTCATTTTGCTCTGTTCTATTACATTCACTTTACATACAAAATATATCTATTCAAAATCCTATTCTCGTTATTTGACTTATCTAAATTCCGTTATTGACTAACGTGATTTAAGTCGACGATGATATACGAGAATTGGCGATAACAAACATCCATACAATCTAAAAGGAGTCGAGAACCAAGGGCCACAAAAAAGTGTTTGTTCGTGAACACATGAGCATATATTTTGAACTACAAATAAACCAATCACTTATTTTAAAGTATTGTCAATCATATGCAAAAGCATTTTCATCAACGGAGGTCAGGAATTTCAACCAATGGTGGATAAATATCTGCCTATGTCCTCGATAGCTGCAAAGATATTGGATAATAATGAGTTCATCTAGCGAAATGATTGGTTAACAATGAAGAGATGATTTTATGAAATTAGATCTTTGCAATGGTTACTTTGAATCTTAGAATCAGAAAGAAACAAACATACACCTGAAAAATCTATATAAACCTAACAAGTTCTGGTAAGATTGTTATACTATTTTGAACGGAAAGATGAGGTGAGTGTTGACTGAACACACGAAGTTATTGTATGTACTGTATGGATTTCGGTCTGATTCAACGAGATAACATTGTTTTCTTCATATCAACCATTTTAGATATACTTCTCTATCTGGTCTGTTGATACCGGTTTGTTTGGTCGTCATCGTGCTTTCCAAATTCTTCGACTGTCAGGATATCTGCGAAAACCCTGAATTAGCGACATATGAAAATGTGACTTCAGAAAACGGTTCATATAAATATGTAAGTATACAGTCAGATTGTAATGCACATACACAGTCTCGTCATTATTACTACTCACGAACAATACGTCACAATCAGCCGTATCCAGTTGTTAGTGACAGTTTTAAAAACTTTAGTACCACTCAGGTGAGTTGACTACATTTTGTAATGGAACTACTAATTCTTATGTTTGCATCTTTTAAGGTTGTTACACCGAAATTTTCGTTTAAATATTACGGTAATGACGTCACTAAATTTGGGATTTATAATTATGGTAAGATAATTTTTTCTCTTTCACTTGAAATTGTTATTGAGTTTTGTTCATCACAATTTATTCCATGAATCAAATTTGAGATGGTGGAGAAGATTTGTAGCTCAGGTGGATGATTTTGGTGGTGTTTTGTTCTCTGAGCTGGATGGTTTAGCCAGCTCAGAGAACAAAACACCACCATGAATCAAATTTGCTAGAATTTCTTCAATGAATCAGTTTTATGCTTTTTCTGACATTCAAAACTTTCGGTAGATTCCTTTTCTTCTTGTTGAACTAATCGAGCATTCAATGTCTTACAGTAAACTAATTACAGTTCATGAAATTCATTTTTGTCTCTAGTTCATTTCAAACTATTTCATTCATCCACTATGGAATTTCAATTAAATTGTATGTTTTCATTAAATATAGGCAAAATAATAATGTTCGGAGAAGAAAAACGCATCGGAACGATACTTAATTCTGTTCAGGGCGATCGTTCGCGTGAATATGAGACGATAGACAACAGTGAGTTGTTCTATTATCCCATAATGTTTTCTTTTGTTTGTTCTCACACACTTGTTGTGCATAAATGATTCAGTATTTAGCTTGATTATTACACAAAAGTTGACCATTTCACAGTGATTATATTGTTTATGTGATTTGGTACCACAACGTGTGTTCACAGCACGTATTCATTACTGTCAACTTAAAATATCAAATAAACACAGGGATTCACTACAAAATAAACACAAATTGATTCAGTAGAAATTATCAACCAAGTGATGTGGTTGCTGAGTGAAAATGAACTGTTATCCAGTCTATTTAAACAACAATGCGAAAGATGTCTCATCGACGCGATACCTCTTTCTAGATTAAATGAATTAAATTGATCGCATGTGCAACACTAAACAATGTTGTTCAACAGGTCAGTTTGAGTCATTAACTTTATGAACTGTCAAATTATATTTGACGTCTTCCAACTCTTTTCTGACACTTAGTTGATTCATGAAAGTTAAATATCTCTTAGTTGCTATCTGTGGACTATTAGATGTTTAGCACTTTTACGATTATCCTGTTTATAAATTAATGACATTAAAACCCACGCCCTTCCTTACACAATCAATCACCGAATGATGACTGTTCATTTAAATGTACCAGTTCACTTAAATCTCGGAAGGAAGGAAGGAAGGAAGGTGATAACTCGTCTGCCAATACATTTTTTGTTAGAATGTATATGTATTAAAAGAGGTAGATATTCATTATGCAGATATACAAATATCTTTTCGATTTTCATTTCTTTCAGATGATTTCATTGCTGTCAAATGGTATTTTCAGAAACGGTTTTCCGGTACAAGTAAGCGAACATTGAATGATCATTTGATATCATATGAAATCTTAACATTTAAAACTACTCATTGTGTTTGCTCACACCTGCCTGTTCACTTTGTGTAATTCAATTTTTCCCAATGACTGACAGAAGTAGGAATACATAACGCTTCTGCAAAATAAAGGTGCACTTGCACATGGAATCCATCGATCAATTGATCACGATGATTAGGACTCGAAGAACAGTTAACATAGACTGGAAGAGACTAGACTTGACGAGTAATAAATGGATGAATGAAGTTACAATCCCATCTCACATGCGGAAACACTGATGCACAGATTCATCATCGTTGACCGGCTTCAATGGAACTTGATGTGAAGTCTGTTTATTGTAACAAATAATGTGTGTTATATGTTCGTCCCAAAGCCATTTTCTGCACGGACCACATTCATCGACACAGTCATTCTTAATTATTGCCCGATAAAATCAGTAAATCCTTAGGACAATATGTCTGAAACTATTCACTTCACATCTTCAACAAATAAATCTGTGTTCTTTGTAAACGCCATGGTCGGAGTCAGTCGACTGATCGATTTGCCAGTGTGGTTAATGAGTAATTAAATTCTCAAGTTCCATTTGTGAACAAACACTCCACAACACATGTCATGCGTTCTTAGGGTCGATTGATTTGGGAGTAATGATAGAAAATATTGCGCAGAATTGTATACTTCTCGGGTTCCGAAGACTAAACAGCTGACATTCATTTTGAATAAATTGTGTTCGTGTGTTTTCCATGAGGTCCACTTGATATTCTTCATAGCGAATTCAACGAAGGAAAACATTTGAGATAACATGGTATATGTTTGCTTAAATTGGATATTTTTTGTAAGTAGGCATATACAGTGTCACACCTAACAGTAACAAGCTCATCATCATTCCCTAAGAATTCTAAATATCATTAGTCTTTTGTTTGCAGGTATTATAGTCAAGATAACTAGTGTGATACATTCCAATGGGAAGATATCCCTCTATTATGAGAACGTAAGTTGTACAATTGAATGGAAATAAAATTTTGTTGAAGTACTAGAGCTTAATCCACTCTTTCTTGCGTATCAATAATGTCAAATGTATCAAGATACATTGAATACGACAGAAAGAGATGAACTTTTGTAATGTGCAAACGGACTATGTGACAGTATTATTAATCATTTAATGACACACAATTTAATGTACCACTTGCTAAAAACAGTGAATAATTAGAAGTGAAGAGTCATCAAAAGATAAGGACAAACAGTGTACTGTAGAGTACAGCACGGAAACAGTCATATTATGACAAGATTTATTTCGTCTTCTGGAGATAAGCTGTTCGATAAGTACATTGCAGAATATTCTGAGGGATTTAGTGTTTAAACTGTTGATCGTTTCACAGTGTGTATATTTTTGAATGCCAGTGTTTGATACTTCCAGTACTTCTTTTCAGATCCCCACGGGACAAACTGAAGGTCCAGTGTCCTCTATAATTGAAGGTGTAATTCGGTGTGGAGGTAACAATTATTGCTGGTATTTTGATGTAGAGTAAACCCGTCAACAGTTTTCTGTTAACGTAATATTACTTTCCATTCGTACACGGTCATCTGCATGACAACATAGTAACATGCTGTTTTCGCTCACAGTGATCATATATAACTGTATTACAGTCTACAATGATTAGTTGATTTGAATGTAAGACAAATCGATTGAAGTGCAATTAAAGTGTTGAGGATAATCGTGAGGGATAAGGTCGAAATACTTTTCGTAAAATCACCGACCAAAAATTACTGTATACTGAATATTCAACGTCAATTATATGTTTACAATTCTTGAATGGAATTTCTGTAGTTACACCCGATAAAGAATCTTAGTGAAACTCAATAATGAAAATGTCTAGTGTCCTTGGAACAATGGAACACTGTATTGAAATCAAAGTACATGTGTATTGAATTCAACAACGGTCATCCTTATCACTGTAACAAATTAGATTTGAGTTGTTGTGATGAAAGTGTAATGGTTCTGTTTCAGTTTTTTGTGATAAATTACACAGACAATGAATTTCGTGATCCACATTTTCTGACGTTTTCCTAACCCAATATTCTGAGTGATAGAACCACGATGTGTGAATATCATTACAGTAAAATTGTGTATAGCTATTGGAGAATGCTTACGCATACATTTAACGACGGACTGATCACGACAGGGTTATATGAACGACAATATTTGACAGACCATATATCCACTCATTTAATCACTTGTCCACTCACCCGCTCATTCACTCACAGACCAATCAGTCCCAGTTGTAGTCCTCAGTCATATCACTACTCAAACAGAAACAAAAGAGTGATGCTTGTAAATGATAGTGGTTTCATACAATGCTCAATCTTTATGCCATACTGAAGTGATCATGTGTTGTCTTAAGATCAAGCTGAGTTTCAAGATAAGCGTTTAGTGAAAGCAATTCGGTGGGATACAATGTTTTGTCATTAAATGTGAGACAATGCACTAAATATTTGGTCAAACGGTATACATTGATCGGTTGAAATATGTTACTTAGTCTTGAACAGTAAATCTCAATGTTGACTATGTGTAATTTGAAATGTCGAAAGAATTGTACCGAGTTGAACATGTTTCTTGAAGATGTTGCACTGAAAATGCTTTCAAATGAATCGGGAATTCAATATTATCATTTTTCATTTACTAGTTAAACACTGGCCCCTTTCCATATCAGTAATGATGCGGAGCATGTTTTGTGAGGATTTCGTATGAACAACACTCTATCTGTAATCAGAAATGTTTAAGTCTTAATTTTACGGTACATGAAATGATGAAACCAATTGTTATTTACTTCACGTGAAATCAAAATTTTAAGTGTTTTTTTAAATGTATTTCAGATGATAGAAAACCTAAGATAATAACTTCTGGAGAATCGATAAGAAGTGACACGTTAGTGGAGTTTGAACCTATCGAGAGTATGTTAAACCTTATTTAATCAGCATCGAATATTTCCTCACTTGAATATGTCACTTCTGTTTCATCATATTATAAATTCCAAGTGTAATTTTAATTTAGCCATTTCACGATATCCAGTATTGTTTCTCTGTTGACGCTTCCCTTGCTCTTAATAATTACACGTCGATTTGCTGTTGGATATTAAACATGATTAAGGACTCAACTTGAACTACTACAGAAGTCTTTACTTTCACCAAATTTACAGATGTGAGAGAACCTGAAATAACAACTACTGTAGAATTGACGACAAGTGACACGTCAGTGAAGCCTGAACCTATCGAGAGTATGTTAAACCTTATTTAATCAGCATCGAATATTTCCGCACTTGAATATGTCACTTCTGTTTCATCATATTATAAATTCCAAGTGTTATTTTAATTTAACCGTTTCACGATATCCAGTATTGTTTCTCTGTTGACGCTTGCCTTGCTATTGATAATTTCACGTCGATTTACTGTTGGATATTCAAAATGATTAAGGACTCAACTTGAACTACTACAGAAGTCTTTACTTTCACCAAATTTACAGATGTGAGAGAACCTGAAATAACAACTACTGCAGAATTGATGACAAGTGACACGTCAGTGGAGTCTGAACCTACCGAGAGTATGTTAAACCTTATTTAATCAGCATTGAATATTTCCGCACTTGAGTATATCACTTCTGTTTCATCATATTATTAATTCCAAGTGTAATTTTATTTAGCCATTTCACGATATCCAGTATTGTTTCTCTGTTGACGCTTCCCTTGCTATTAATAATTACACGTCGATTTGCTGTTAGATATTTCAAATGATTAAGGACTCAATATGAACTACCACAGAAGTCTTTACGTTCTTCAAATTTACATAGAAATCACGCCACGAAACGATGGATGAGATGATTTAATGCTCGAAAACTTTAACCGTCTTTTGACAGATTGTGTATTTACGAGGAGGTGTTCGTTAGTTTTTCACTCAGTATATACGATATCCAATTTATCTGAGTTATTGTAATCACTGAAACACTACATGTAATTGTGATCATCTTGAAGGTATTAGTTTCACTTCTAAAATCTCTGCTTTGTCATGCTTGTTCGATAAATCGAAGGTGTAGACAAGTCACGCGTTCAAATTGCAATTTATCATAGTCGATATATATGCACAGTAACAAAATTACTGACGATTTACACAATATAAGATTGTTTCCTTACTCATGAATATGTAAAGTGAGTGTCTGCAGACACTTTTCAGTTCACCATGTGTTAGACTATTGAAATACCATTTCGACTACTAAGAGAATCATTCGATAAATTATTGTTCGGATCGCCTTCAGTATTTGTCGAACAAAATATTATTTTTACCAATCCAATGAGTTTGATGTGCTAACTCACGTTAAACAGACTAGAACGTGGCCACATATTTTGAAACCTTCTATCACATAATGTGTTAGTGAAAAGATTTTCGTGGAAGCCAAAATGATGATTTGAAAAACCAAGTCACTCTTCCTTTGTCTTTCCGTCGAATCAACAACATTGAAAATCAGTTTTCGGCCTGAGAACTGCTGACCTTCGTGCACTGATTTCGAAATAGTCAGTGCCACTGAGCTCACGAATTGATTGTGCACTTCACACATGCAGAAACGGTATACAAGATGTAGATTGATGATAACACTGATGTCAGTTACAGGTTTTGTTATTCACGTATCTTTTGTTTGACAACTTGAAATGTCGTCTCGCTAATTTTTTTCACAGTAAGTTGTTCAAAACACGATTCCATTGAAAAATGCCAAAATGCGACAACATCAAGTGTGAAATGTATCTGGTCTGAAAAGGCTAATATGTGCATTAACAGCGATGATAATGATGTTAAAGTAAGTAATTGTTAAGATTCATAGATTGTTTACAACATTGCTATATTCCACATTGTACATCCGATTACTCGGAAGAAAATTTCATTACTACGAATACGTTTTGATTTCATGGTGACAACAAACAATGAACAGAAACGTTGTTTAACACAAATGCATGGAGTCATATTAATTTTTGAGCTCACTGAGCTTGTAGTGACTTCAGAAATTAAGTATGTAACCGTATATCCATGTGAATTGCCATGAATCACCGATGAAATCGGTTTGAGTGATGAAGCGTATTCCGTTGGAAATTGTATATTATGTTTGCATAATTAGTCAAAGTTTGTAGACTCTAGTTGTTAAAGCGCGGAACAAATGGATCACTGAAATTCACACTGAAGAAAAATTTCGGAAAAATACTGCAAAAAACTGAACCTTGTTCGGTGAATATTTGACATTTAGTATTAATGCTACTGTTTCGTTTCTCTTTCAGAACACCACTTCAGAAATAAATGGACACAGTAAACATAATAACACACCTCGTTACTTGTATATCGTGATACCAGTAGTCGTCGTCGTCGTCGCTTTCTGCATCATATGCATCGGTTGTGCCATTTGGATGTATAAGAGAAAGAAGAGTAATCCATGATCTACAGAAACGTCTTATCGTTTGTTTTTATTATTTTGATCGAGTTGTTTTATTCTGTAGTTCATTCGAAAACTTCTTTACATTCTGTTAACCGTTTCAATTATTTGAACAAGTTTTATACAATTTTCTGTTTGTCAACGTATCGACTGAAGTAATTCTGTTGATTAAATAACTGATATATTTACGTGAATTGTTTTTTCATTGAATAAAAGCTGATTTATATTCTAAGAGTTTTACAGCATTTAGTTTAGAAATGAGCAGTATTCTGTATATGTGTGATTATGTGATCATTGCAATCAATAATGATTCCGTTGTGAATGTTCATTTCGATGTAGTCTCACCATGGGAAAATATTATTTGAAATTTACAACGGTCATTGTTATAAACTGATCAGTCAAAATACCATAGAAGTTGAGCGTATACTCACGTAAGACTGAAGAACAGTGTGGATTGAATAAAGTAGTAACAGTCCAACTGTAGCATTGCTAAGATGACAGATTTGAAAAAGAAAAACACTATGGTGTTTCTACCAGTTGATGATCACTTCATTATACACTATTTATTTAATAATTATTCTCACTCACACCTAATTATGAGAAAGGATATTGCAAATATTCATTTGTCTTGTTTGGTTGAGTCTTCCCGTTGATGTTTAGGACTGCAATCACACGGTATGGCTCAACCTTGCAGAAATGGTTATTCTGTATAACTTGTCTTTAATCATAGTAATTATATTATTCTATATTTAGCCTAAATGTGTTCTTTACAAGCGCCAAACGTTAGATCGTGCATTGTTACTATACGACTAGTCAGAGTAGACAATGATGTGACTCCATGTAAGATCATATAGATTAGGCAGTCACATCATGACATATCCACAATTTTAGGATTCGGTTTATCATTGTAATGGTACCAATAACAAATTAGATCATAATTCCACACACTGTGTAACTTAACTGAACAAACCACATGTCACTGTCACATCACACGTTCAGCATAACCCAAATGTGACTGATAGACTAGACTGAACACAAGAAATCAATCTATTCCACGGTTGAACATACAATTACCTAATACGTCGTATGCAAGTGGTTATGACATTTTTCTCCACCTTTTCAATTATGTACAACAACGACTATTAGGCTATACATCGTTTACTGCCTAACAACATTGAGCAAATATTTATCCAACATATGAGTCTCATTGATATGAACATTCCAATCCCTCAACGGAAATCCATTGTTCTTCTTGCGTTGTGTGGTAGTGTTTACGAATTAAACGTAGACCTCATACAGACCAAATGTGATCATCAGTAGGATGAAAGATAAAACGGTAAAGAACTGAATTACGAAAACAAAAATGAAATAACGATGAGTTTTCTGTGTGACAACTTAAGGAAGATGGGCAAATTGTGTATTTAGTGTATTGTTTACAAATAATGAAATTAGATCGTCGTCAGGTTTTCCTCTAATATACATGAATATTTATACGAAAACGTAAACCAATCAAGGCAATATGGGTCAATACCCACAATGAAATAGAATAAGTCTCTACACATAAAATAGGTAAAAGTACAAGATGATAGTAGTAGGATGACAGGTGAACTGATAGTAATAAGAATAATAAAATACAATAACAAGACTCTAATCAATAGTTAATGGTTGGAAATAGAAGGTCAAATAAACGTGGGTAAATAGACGAGGCACATTAAGATCATTACGTAATAAGATGTGTGTAATTAATTAGATAGTGAAGAATACAAAGAGGCGGATAATTACAAACCAATAATGGATGTGGAAATAAGGTTAACGATAAGACAAATAGAATAAAATAAATAATGATAATAGTAAAATTTAAAATAAAAAAATTGTTAGTTAAGTTGTAACTGGCCATGGAAGGAATAGGGTGGTTACGTATTTCTTCTGTACACATAAATTGGGGTTGTATGTACGAATTCGAATGGCTTCAGCTATATATAGGAGACGGGAACGGACTCCGTCGGGAAATGATGGAGGTATACGATAGATAACTCGAAATGATTTCGATTTATCTAAAGCATGACCGCTATCAATAAGATGTGCCAATATAGAACTGCGAATAGTTTTTCTCTGGCCCTTTATGTACCAAGTTGGTAGATGTTCACTCATTCGTTGGTTAAGTTGCCTGGAAGTACGCCCTTTAGAGCTCTTTCTCCACAGGAGCAGCTGATTTTGTAAATGTACATGGAAGAGGCCAACTCAGCTAACTTATCCTTCGTTTGAGTAGACATCGCTGGTCGACAAGAGAAGGTCAACACAAGATTGGCTGTGTAGAATGTACTGGCGATTACTTTGGTTAACCTATATTTCAGAGTGTCACTAGCCACATCCCCGTTGAATTGCACTATCATCTATAAAGGTTTCTTACGAACAGTCGAAATCTCCGACTCCTTTATTATACCATGCATGTACAGGGGTAGCCGAACTCGGTCAGTGAGTTGTTGATAAATTCAAGCTCCTGACATAGAGTGTCTACTGTACAGATCTTTTTTGCTCTGCTAGTGAGACATCTGACCAAATTTCTCTTGTAACGGATGGGTGTGAAACTGCAGAAGTGAGTATATTGGCATGAAGAGGGGTTTCTTCTATACACGCTTCTACTTAATGTGCCGTCACTTCGTCTGCTTAGTGTGACGTCACCTTGTGAGACAAGGCATATTAGATGAGTAGAATTTAAGTAGATGTGATGATCATGTGCAATATTCAACTAAGTAATGTTGACTGAATCGTCAAGTGACAGTTCCTAACCCCGATGAGATTAAGGAGGACGTTTGAAGTACATGATGTGTTCAAGTCAAGTGAAGACTGTTCATGGAGAATAATGTGTTCCTGTCGACCGATGTTATCTTCCAAATCCATCCAACTATATCTTTTAGTTACCAAACACATTGTGGTCTCAAATGAAGTAGAGAAGTGAAACATGAATGTCTGCTTGATCAAAGTAGAGAAGACGAAATACGAATAGATAAACCAACAAGCAATCAATGATAATCATTATGGATTTGAAATCATGCTTCGCTGTATCATTGAATATCACTAATTCTCAATAAAACTAATGAAGATGTTTCATGAAGAAACTTATCTTCTTGACAATAAATTAAATTTTTGGTTTAGATCATCAACTGACTGATGTTAGACGACCAATGAAAACCTGGAAGCATTGAACAGCCGTTTCATCCCATTTGGAACTCCTCAGGAATGTTTATCCACGATCCCTCTAGCAGGATTCGAACACGCGGTCTTAAGTCTGGCGGGTGAACGCTTAGCCTCTAGACTAATGATCTGGCATCCAACGGTGTCAACATCTAACATCAACTAATTCAATACTTGATATAATCTATTATTTATAATGTTTTAAAGTTAATTTTGTTTGTTTAATTGAATTAGCCGATGTAAATTAAAAAGTAGTAGATATGTACTTCAGTGTACCTTGGATCTTGTCAACTTAACTAAAGATCAAACTCATAATCTATAGAATTGAACAAAACGTTTGTGAACATTAGCTAAACTTGAAGTTAGCATCTACTATCGATCGGTAATACATAAGAAATTATCCATAAACAATCGGAAGTCAACTCAGTTATTTTTAGTATAAAAATCATCAGTCCGAACCCTAGTAGAGTGATAAGTGAGTCCTTGTAATGAATTTCACACTGGGCCAAAACAGCTAATCAATTAATGAATTCACATGTAAATGTAAACAACGGAAAGGTTTTAACCTAAGGTGGTGGTTAGAGGTAGTCAACAGGAAACCTTGAACCTAGTTTTTGTGCTACTTGGCACTAGTTAGCAAGGTATACCTGTATATCAACAGTATTATATATTAAAGCCTGAAAAAGCTCTAACTTCGTTGAAGTCATAAACCGGTCGATTTTAGGTCAAAATTGAACACCTCCAATCACTGGACGGTCATTTCAACCTAGTATGAAACCCCTCAGCAGTGCACATCCACCATTCCGAACGCCAGAATCGAGCCCATAATCTTCAGTCTCGAAACAGAATGCCTAACATCAAGACCACTAACTCACAATCCAACGACCTTAATGAACACCTTCAATCAGTCCACAACGAACGCGAACGTCTTCCATAACCTTTAGTGACTAGCTGCCTCATACCTGACACGATTGAACTGCACTGGTTCCAACCTCTCACCAGAAGTCTTGAAATTTTCTCTCGAGGCTAATCACTAGTGAGTACATGATGTTTTTCAGTATCAGGATTGTAAAGACTGCTGAATACCACCGAAAACATGAAACGATCAACTTTAGACCACCATTTAAATCTGGATTTCAACTGTTTGCCTGTACAATCACTCCAGAATTACAGGATTATTA